AACCACCGCCTCGATGTAAAACCTCGACAGAGACAGGAGCGAACAGCGGAAGCGATCGAAGACCTTCAAACGAGAAAATATGTATATTCAGATGAAAGATAACTCCACAAAGCACAAAAGAAAAACCAGTAAAACGAAGACAAACCAGCAGATCGAAGAGGCAGGAGAGGCGGGAGATCGAAATAACTCCACAAAGCACAAAAGAAAAACCAGTAAAACGAAGACAAACCAGCAGATCGAAGAGGCAGGAGAGGCGGGAGAGCTGGAGGGAGTGGAAACCCTAACTGAGCAGAGAACGGCGGAAGTGGAAACCCTAACCGAGGAGAGAACGGCGGAAGTGAATGAATGAAAACCTAAATACAGGAAAATAAGCGTCCATTCCTATTTTATCCCTTTCAACTTTATCTCTATAATATTATTTTTTTTAAATTCATTGATGAAACGACGTCGTTTTCAGAACGAGTGAAAACGACGTCGTTTTCAGTAGGACGAAAACGTGAACAGTGAAATTAAAAGTGGCTCTTTTATTTAGTAGTGATTTAAGAAAGTCTGTCTGTCTCACCTAAGGTCTTCAGTTTTTCCGAAAATGCTGTTTCCAGAATTGTCATTTCGGACGTTTCTATCAATGATGCAGCAGTTATATTAAAAGGGTTGGTTTAAACTCTTAATTTTATCTATTCTAATATATCGATCGTGTCATTACTTTCTCAAAAGAAAAACTGATACCTACACAGTTTTCATCATTGGAAGATCTGAATTCCCATCTTGCTTGCCACAATATCAGATTGAACCAATCCCCTCTTTTCGACGAGTATCAAGCTCCCGTAAGGCGTAAACCTAAGTTCTTAAGCTCGAGACATATCCAATATTGCTCATGAAGAAGGTTTAAGGGTTTGTATTGGTCCAAACTAACTGGTAATGTTTACTGCAGATTAGTTTGGTTTATCCTATATCTTTTCTGCCAGAAAGTTCTTGTTAATAATGCCAAAATCATATCATAATCAACTTTCTTTCTTTCTTGATTAAATTAAATAATGCTTACAAATTTTTTAACCCTCAATCACCATTGACTTATTTGGCGTCTAGCCTACATTTACCAGACTAATTTGTCCAAAAAGATCAAACAATTCATGTTTAATTATTAATAAAAAAATCATATTACTTTTCTAACTTATGAAACAATATGTTTCTGTCTGTTTTTTTGTTCTGTCTCACCTTAAGGTCTTCATTTTTTCAGAAGGTTTTTGGCATATAATGTGGAAGCTGAACAACCCCCACCCCATCCCTACCCAACAACCAAAATCGGCCAATTCTTTCGATGATGTAGATTATATTCTAATGCTCAAGATAGGTACGAATTAAAGTGGTTAAAAAAAATTAAAAAAATAAGAGGGGGAGAACATATTCGGAGTAGATAATTCTCCATGTGAAGTTAAATGGATTAACTAGATCAGAACATTCAGAGAGAGAGAGAGGGTATTAATGCTTTTAAACACGATATTGTATATTATACTGAGCACCAAAAATACATGAATTTTTGCAAGAAAAATACTGAAATAGCAATAAATTGTGAAATAAAACGGCTATTAATTTCAAAATTGGGTAATGACTACAGATGCCAGCATCCATATTTTCATAATGCAGAGTGAAATATTTACATTGTGTCACTTCGCTAACTTCCAGCTTTACAATTACACACGGAAGGAAGAGCAGTAATGACCACGGATTGGAACTTTTTGTTGCATAGACAGTACTAAAAAAAGAAGTTAAAATATTGTGTATTACACAGAGCATATGCTACAAGTATTCATCGGATTTGAATCGAGTAAACCAAAAGCCTATCAATGTGCAGCATACTCGTCTTCTGTCGACTCTTCTTCCTTGAGGGAATTCAATGAATCACCGGATAGCTGGCTCCGATACTGCTGCACAATTAGAACAGATGCTGTGGTCGAGAAATCCGGGGAAGTCAGTAAGTTTCCGACTGGCCCCAACTCCGGGCATTCACTGTTCTTGTAAAGAGCTGCAACCAATTGTCCTTCAGGCATTCTTCCAACAAGAAACAGATTGCAACGATTATGTGTACGAATCATATCGACTGTTTCTGCAGCACTGTTTACCATTTTCTCTTCGTATTTGATTGAGCCGTCATTTGATATTTTCTCCTTGAATTCGGCAAGAAATTCTTCATCCTCTGATCTAGCTTCGGGACAATAACTGTCATTTATATCTACACGAACAGACTCCCCGACTACTTCAGGGTCAACCATGAAACGAACAACGTTCAAACGGATGCCAGGATGCTCAGCCATAAGTGCACCATACGATAGAGCTTCCCTATCATCATGGCCACCGAAGAAAAATACACTGATTTTATAGTCAACATTGCTTGCTGATACATGAGATGTTCCACCAAGGCCCCGGTCAACTAGAATTCCAACTGAACACGGTGCATGCTCAAGAACCCTCCGGTTCACATACCTCAAGTCAGCTCGTGTTGTCTCCAAGTTTCCATCGAGCCTTGGGTGCTTATGGAAAGGGAGGATTATAATTGCTACCCTCTTCCTCTCTGCACTCAAGCAAATGTCGATGTGCATACTGGACATCGCTGAGATAGCAGTTGTTGGTCGAATAGACACCCTACTAAGATGCTCAACTGCCTCAAAAGCAACAATAATTTGATTCGGATCAGAATCGTGCACCTTATTCCAAAATGGCATCCCGTTTTTTCGAGCCTTGTGGACCATCAATATTGCAGACGACCTCTCAGAAAGCTCCATTAGATGCATTGCATAGACATGAAGTCCTTTCCTTTTTTCAGTACCACGCGTAACCTCCATGAGATTTATCAAAGTCGGAATGTTTCTTGTACTGTGGAAACAGGTCAATAATCTCAACTGAGAACTAGACTCCTTCCTTCGAATAGTTCTATGCTTGTACTCTGATTTTGCCATTTGAGCCGGCTTGTATAAAGCTAGAACAGCAGGCGTCGTTACAACTGTAGTGAATAAAGCCATTAAAACCATGATTGCAAATGTTTGATCGTTCAAAACCTGCATAGACGAGAAAAAAAATTTATTAAATGAGAAACGAACAAGTCCAAATGCAAATATGTGGATATGGAATGTTAAGTTGTGTGCAGTACCAAATATTACATAAAGCATTAACTTACTCCACGGTCTTTCCCAATGTTGAGAACAATGAGCTCGACTAAGCCCTTAGTGTTCATAAGGAAACCGAGAGTCACGGCTTCCTTAAAGGGCACCTTGTAGGAGAGTGACACGAGAATAGTGCCAATGATCTTCCCAAAACACGCTGTAAATATGACCAAAACGAGAAGACCCCACGACTGCGCCCCTTGAATGGTGGCTACATTCGTCTTTAATCCACTTGAGACGAAATACAGAGGAAGAAAAAGGCCGGATATGAGATCTTCAACTTTTTCAACAAGGGCACGGGCAAATGGTCCCTCCTTTGGAACAATTACTCCAAGCACAAAAGCTCCGAACAGTGCATGAATTCCAATAGAATCAGTTATAAATCCAGCAGCCAAAACAGCAACCAATGTTGCACATATATATATCTCTTTGACTGGCTCACCCTCAGGGCAACGTCGTGCCATCCACTTGAAAATCGGAGGGGCAATTAAGATGCATAAAACTATGAAACCAGAACCACACAGAAAGACCCACAATGAAACAAGTGGTGAATGTCCCGTGCCTGATAATGCAATAGCCAGAGCAAGAAGAATCCAAGCAGCCAGATCGTTGACTGCAGCAGCGGACATGGCCATTCGACCAACATCAGTTGTTAAAAGCTTGAGTTCAGCCAAAATCCGAGCCAAGACGGGAAATGCAGTAATAGAAAGGGCCACTCCCATGAAGACTAAAAAGGGGGCCTGACTTACGCCCTGGGAAATAGTTCCACGGAGTATGTACGATGTCCCAATCCCTAGAGCAAACGGAACAATGATTCCTGCAAGGGCAATGCTTACTGCTTTTTTCCCAGTCCGTTTAAGGGATCTTGGATCGAGCTCGAGGCCAACGAGGAATAGAAAGAAGAGGAGGCCGAAGTTTGCGATGGTATCCAGAACTGTTAAGCTCCTAGGCGGAAAAACAGCATTAAGAAATTTATGATTCCGGCCTAAAGCAGATGGACCGAGTAGAACTCCTCCCTGCCAAACCAATAAGCCAATTTCATTAGTTCTTACTTGCAAAGTGCATGGTTAGTACGGACACAACTTAATATTATAATCAATAAAATCTTAGCCTTTTTTTCCTACTTATCCCCACAGATGGGATTAGTTCATCATGTAGTCATGGTTTCCTGTCGATGCAGACACAATAATGCCTATAAACTAATAGAAGTCAACTTAGAAATATTGCAATTCTCTTTTAAAATAAGTATCTACCACCTAACAGTAACTAAAGATTCAAACAGAAGAATATGCCTTCCCTAAACAAGAGTCAATATGAATTAATTAGAAAACACCATAATTCACATAAAAAAAGAAGCTGGAAAAAAAATATTTGAAAAACAAAGATTCCTGCGAATTCGATATGAGATAGTAGAAGCTTACGATGATCTCAGCAATAACGCGTGGCTGTCTGAATGGCCTAAGAATATAGGCGAGAAACCGGGTGAACACAACCACTAAAAATATCTGAAGAATTAAAAGGGGAAGTGCGTAATCGAGAGGATTGTCTCCTTGGAACACCCCGTTTGACGTAGCTTTCGTAAGTGATGGACATTTGGTTGCTGTGTTAGAAGCCATTTCGCAAATAATTTAGAAACAGCTTGCTTATTATCACTTCAATGCCTGCATAATATGATCAATTAGTACTTATCAGATTATAAGTTAGAAACCATGTTATCATACATCGTAGACTCTGATACACATAATTTGTAATTAATTCGACAAAACAAAAGTTAGGAATCCTATTCTACAATAATGAACTTATTATCAAGAAACACATTACAAAGAAAATTAGGACAACCAAGAAAGCTAACCATCATATTATCCTTCTTGAAGGAAAATTCATGACTTAGTGCTCATATTCTTTACTTATTTCTATTTAAAGAACCTTATACTTTTCCATGGAAAGCCAAACAAATGTCAAACTTAGCCTAATTTTTGACTGGATTGTATTTTATAAGGCGGTATACCGGTTCGATCCCCAATCTCAATGACGGCTTCAAAGACGATGAACAGTATAAGTACGAAGTTTCTAAGATCAACTACACTAAACATGTATGGCAAATCTTTGTTCTTTTGTGAAATATATCAGCAATTTAATACCTAGTCGATGTCAGATTTTGGGTTTCCTACTTCACTTAGCATTATATCCGATGGAATGCGAAAATAGAATTATCTGGAAATTTAAAAAAAAAAAAAATGATAATCTAGATATTCACGTGTGTGTTATATCAAGAATTAATTCTGAATCACGAACTTTTGGCTTTTTGTTTCCAATCTTCCAGCTTTTAATTCCAAGAACTTTTGGCTTTTTGATTCCAATATTCCAGTTTTTAATTCCAAGAACTTGATATTTCAAATTTCCAAGTCTTCTATGGTATTCTCCAAAATCAATACTATATCGATGAGTGG